AGAGGCAGGAGACTCGCTTGAGCCCAGGAGTTGGAGGTTGCTGTGAGCTGTAATGCCACGGCACTCTGCCCAGGGGGACAGCTTGAGACACTGTCTCAAAAAAAAAAAAAATAAAAATAAAAAAATAAAAAACTTTTCCTTGCATGTATAAGTGCAATCAACTGAGACTGTTTGCAGTTTTTTGTCCACAATTTCAACAATCATTTTAAAAAGAGGCAGTGTATTCACTCTGGGTCTTCTTAGGAATAAAATAATTACTTTTAAGGTGCAAATTATGTGTTTTATAAGTGTACAGATAATTAAAATTTGTTACCTTATATATTCTCTTAGGTTACTATTTGTTTACAAATAGAAATTTTAAATTTTTCTAGTTTTCAAATGTTCTTTGTGTATCTAATAGTTTATTTTTCATTATTGTAACAGATAACTTGCTTATTTGACTTGGAAAAACAATTTGTGGACATATGGTATCATACATCATAACTGAACATCACCATTTAATTACTATTACAGAACAACTTTAATTACATCGTATATTAATATAAATTACTTATTGAGTAACACCAGAATTATAGAGGCAAATGGTAGAATGAGAAATTGTCTTTGGATTGGGTTTTTTTTTTCCCCTTAGCGTAGATTTTAGGTTTTCTATTTAGTTTCCAGGGATTGACTGAGAAGTGTCAGGGGTTTGTATCACTAAAGATAGTAATGCTAATTTGTTTCTGTTTGTATTTTGTAAATCAACAAATAAAGTAATACATTTCATTTGGAAGCCTATGGGCTTATGGTAGTTAAGATTCAGCATGCCTATAGCCAGGCTTTGTGGCAGGCACCTGTAGTCCCAGCTACTCAAGAGGCTGAGGCAAGAGAATCACTTGAGCCCAGGAGTCTGAGCTGTGATGCCACAGCACTCTACCAAGGGTGATAAAGTAAGACTCTGTCTCAAAACAAAAAGATTCAGCATGCCTGTAATTCATCAGCCTCTTAGCTAATGAATCAACTAAATAGTGCTAGCCACTGAGATGATTTTGACCCTTTAAATAGCTTTTGTTTGATTTATACTTACATCAGTTAAAGACAGGAAGCGTAATGAGCATGGATGTTAAAATACAACAAATATGGCATGTGAGAGTGATAATTCAGCAAGAAGAACTTCACTGGCTCTGTGTTTGCCATATATCTGACCAAAATTTTTATGCAGCATATATATAGGTTTCTAGCACTTCGAGAACTAATGTTAAATAGAAAGTATAATTATTCTGTTAGGGCTATCACTTAATGGGAATAAAGCTTACATCCATACACCAGTTTATTTGTAGAGAAATACTTTGAAATAGCAACATGAGACCTTTTATCATTTGAAAATGAAACATAATTGTAAAAATAAGACAGTATATTGTTATATAGGACCTTAATATACCATTTTATAAAAGTGATTTTTACTTGTTTTTCAAGTTGAATATGTAGTTCAAGCTAATCTTCATTTTAATGTCTTGTTCATCAATCAGCATATATTTCATTGTAAACTTTATTCATGGAGAAGTCATGGTGGTTTGACTTTTGTTTAAGATTCAGGTACCTTGAACACTGTATCACTTGTTCAGTGGGAAATTGATGCTTGTCTTTATGGAAAATATCTAAAGTTCAATATCCATATAAAATTTTCTCCAGATGAATTTCAAATAAGCCTATTTTTACTAATGTCAAGTTTTGGATACTAGGTTGTGAAATACCTAATGATATGGGCCTAAATTTACCTCATTTAGACTGAAGCTGGGCTGTTAATATTCTTTTCCAACTAATATACTGCCCTGTGATATCTGAATCTGTACAGTAAAGAGCACTAACCTGATTCACATGGCCTGAGAACACAGTAGGTATCCCCTAATCTGCAAAGGCTAATAATTCAGGCTTCAATGCTTTTCCTTGCAGTATTACCCACAGGGTCTGTGTCTGCTTGTTTGATGTCTTCAAAAGTCCATAAATTGGTTCTTATACTGGGATATGGTCTCCCACTTTTCCTCAGTGAGGCTCACAAACTAAATTTGCCCTTGGCTAAGAGCAGTTACATGAACCAAAAACATTTCCGACTTGGGAAGCCACAAGCTGAGTAACATTGAGTAGGCAGAGTTGGCAAGGTGTTGATTCTTGCCACCCCTCACCCACAAGCAGCAGCCTGCCTTCTCCCAGCTGAAACCAGGCCCTAGTTAACGCAAAGCTCTGGGCAGTTGCTCCTGGTTCATCAGAAATCACATGAAATTTAAACCTGTTGCCATCCCTGTCACACAAGAAAGAAGCAGCGTGCTGATGTTCAAACCCAACTGCAGTGTGCTTATTTGTACTTAACCAAAAATACGTGGGCTTTGCCAGTGTTAATGTCAGGCTTCTTGGCATCCTTTCTATGGAACTTTGATGACTTTTGCATTTGTTTCTAATGGATGTTGAAGAATGTGCCTTATTCAGATGTGTTGTCTGGTTATTACCAAAAATAAATCTTAATTCTTCTCAGCTGACTGATTCTTGATTAAAGTTCCAAAAATAGCAAGTTTATAGAAATGGGCACAGGGTCATTAACAATGGGAAAGGAAACTGCTTTCATTCAGCTGAAGAGCCAGAG